GTAAGTATAGGTATTTTATTTTTAAATATAGATATATATATTAAATATAATTTTCTTATTTCATGTTCAGAGTATATTTTATTTATTTTATGTTTTATATATTATGTTTTATGTTTGAAAGTTCTGAGTAAATTATCAGTAACAAAGTGAGAAACGCTGAATAAATGCATTGTGTAACTAAAAAATAATTGTTTGAATAATCCTGATTTCAATATTGACCAAAATAATCGTGATAATGATTTTTTTCTATAATTGAGCAGCCCTAAATTCAATTATAGTAATGAAAGAAGTGTTTTTGTAGAAAAGAATCAGTCTATTCTCCAATATTTGTGACACAAGTAGTCAAAAACAATTTCAAAAGTACCTCAGTTATTCCTTTTTTTAAAGCCGTATTGTAATATACAGTATTTCTACTTAAGTGGGGTTAATAGAAAGATCTGATGCTGGTATCGGCTATTGATGCAGATACTGAACAATTTGCTGGATCGGATATCATGATGGGACAATAAACAATAATATTGTTTATCATAATTAAAATGGTAGACAATAATGGTTCGTGGGACATTTGATGTAATCGTGATAATCGCCAATAAAGAAAATCACCATTTTATCACCAAACTGTGTAGAAAAAAACTATTATGATCTGCTAGATCATGGTTGTTTTCACTCATAACAAGTATAATTATATAGAAGTTGTTTAAATATAGAACTTATTCATAATATTAAAATTATAATTCTTCATATCCATATTTTTTGTTATTGTCAGCAACTTTAATAATTATTGTGATATTTTTGTTAATCGTAATTATTTTGGCCATGGTAATCATGACACCATATTTCAGTATCGTCACATGCCTTATCTGATATCGGCTTCCAAATATTAGTTCAGCCGATATCCTGGTTGAACGTATAAATCGATGTCATTTAGGGTTGGGTGTCGTTAAGAAGTTGCCGATATGATACGACATCTCGATACAGTGCATTTTTGTTTCGATACGATATATTTCAAATCGATTCGATACTGTCAATCAAAAATTCAAGGCTAAGTAATGATGGCTCTGACACTAAAAGCGTTTGTTATTTAGTTGTTTGTTTGTTATCTTTGTTGTTCTTGTGCAGATTTGTGCAAAGTTAATATGAAACGCATCCATTTTAATCCTCAAAACAGTGAAAATGTCAGATGTGTCGCATAAACTAGTTTCCTTCCACTAAACAAGCAAAAAAACTGTAGCGCTGTAAAAATAAAAACAAAATAATTTTGTAAAATATACCAAAAAATACTCCTGGAGACATATTGATACAGCAGCCCACGCTATTGATACTGTATCATCACATTAAGCAATACGATATATTGATATTTTGCTATCTTTGCACACCCCTAATGTCATTGAGTGTCAGTTTTGTCGCTCGCAGAAGTGTCTCTGTGTGCTTTGGCCTTAATGATTAGCTTTAACTGACAGTTGGCGGAAACACTAAGTCAACACAAGTAAACTTTACTTTTAGACTATTTGCTCAACAATAGTCTTCTATTATAAGACATTAGCCCTAACCTGAGCTCTATAGGTGTTCCATTACTGAACATTACGCCTGGAGTTATAAAAACGCTTTAATCTTTGCTCCATTACTCACTAATAAGGTGTTTGTATAAGTGGCTCTTGGTGGAATATTATCTGAATATAACTGTATTTTTCACCCTGTTTTCTAGCCCCTGACCTCTAATATATAGTGTTAAAAGCTCTGCCTCATGACAAGCGCATTAGCCTCTGCCATGTTGTGTTAATAAAAGCCTCTGTCGGATCAGTACAGTCACCTTCACCGTGCGCCGCGATCCGTAATAATCTGCCTCATTATCAGAGCCGCACACAAACCTCAGGACCGTCATGCTTTCACTGTCAACACAGCTCAGGACGGCTGATTTTGGCTACGTAACACCTACTGTAGTGTATACCCAGCATAAAATTGTGTTTTTATTTTGATTTGGGTATAAATAGTAGTTGCATTCCAGGAAATTTGGATTGTAGAAAGTTAGTGAGTGAGTTATCTGAAGATTTGTTATTTTTTTGGTATTTGGTATCAAAAATCGGATACTAATCAATATTAAAACTAGTGTTGAAACTACTCATTTAAAGATACACTGTGTAACTTTTTGGTGTGGGGGTCCATCAGATGCTTGTTCCTATGGATATGTCATTGCTTTGCCTGGAATGTTCCACAGTGTGACATTAAACAGCTCTACATTACATTTATTCAATTACAGGTGGTTTTATTGCTCAAAAATACTTGAAAAACAGACATTCTGACAGCCTCTCTCCACAGATCTGACCTGTAACTTGGTCTGGTTTGGTCTCCATGAAGATAGAAAGGTTTAATGCCATACTGTGAAACATTCCAGACAAAGCAATAACGTCTCCATGGAGAAAAGTATTTGACAGACCCTCCACCAGAAAAGTTACTCAGTGCACCTTAAAGTATCAATACTGGAAGAAAAAAAAAATCATTTAAGTGAATAAAATTTGACCTTTCCCAAACAGTTTTGTCAGAATGATCAGAACTAGTGGAACTAAATTATGTAATATTATAGTATATTATATAATATAGTAGCAAATAATAAACAAACACTGTTGTATTGGATTGGAAATTACAAAGAGATTTCAGAATGTTAATTTGGGTCTCAAAATCGGTATCAAGTCCTTATTATCGAGTTTGAAATTTTAGTGTCGTGACAACGAGGGGTGTGCAAAAATATCAAAATCAATATATCATATCATTTAATGTGATGAAACAGTATCGATATTGTGGGCTGCTGTATCGATATATCGCCAAGAGTATTTTTTGGTATATTTTACATAATTATTATTAAAACAGCACTACAGTTTTGTTGTTTGTTTAGAGGAAGGAAACACATTTGATATTTTCGCTGTTTTGATGATTAAAATGTTTGTGTTTCATATGAACTTTGCACAAGAAGTGGTTTAACAAAGACTTACTATCACAGCCATGTGTTAGACATTATTTTTATTGAACCGTCTTGAATCGATTTGAAATATATCGTATCGAATCAAAAGCTCTTTGTATCGAGGTATGTATTGTATAGGCAACTTTTTAATGATACCCAGCCCTTCTGGCAACACTATAATCTCGCAACAAGATGGTAAAATTTTACTAATAGTCATAGCAAATTACAAAAAGGGTTCTATTTATGAAATTTAATTGAATTGCAAAATTGACTATTGTGAGCATTGAGTCATGTTATAATGTTGTTACCTCATCAAAAACAGACCTGGAGTTGTGTTTTGTTTCATTCATATGTTTGAATAACTCTTTATTTTTGGTCTGCCACATCTTCAAAGCTCAGAACGCTCTGTTCCACCTTGGGATGTCATGTACTAATAGCTTTCAAGTTAACAGCTCCTTTTACCTTTAGTTCAGAAGAGATTGGCAACTGCAAGGCTGAAATTATTCAAATTATTCTAGTGCAGGGGTCTCAGACTCGCGGCCCAGGGGCCAACTGCGGCCCTCAGAAGGATTTTTCTTTATTCCCAAGAATGTCAGTGTGGCCTGCGGTAGATGTACGCACAATCCCACCCCCCTAGCGCGGGCGTAACCAGGTTTCAACCAGCAAGGAGTAGGCAAAAGAAGAAAAGACGTATTAGTTTAAACTTACGTTCTAAATAAATTTTCATGTTCTGAACTGTTATTAAAGATAAGAGAGTATGTTGCGTGTTGTTCTTTCTCTCTCTCTCTCTCTTTTTTTTCGTGCAACTGCTATTTATCGAATACTCAATGTGGCCCAGCCTCACTCAGACTTTATCTAATGTGGCCCCCTGGTAATTTGATTTTGAGACCCCTGTTCTAGTGCATGGAGTTTAAAAAACACAGTGGAGCACTACCTCTATTGGACTTAGACAAACTTTATTGATCCACAATTATTTGGACACAGTAGCTCACACATCATAATATAATATAATGACAAAGAGTAAAAATATAAATAAGTAGCAAAAAAGAGTAAGAGACTGGTGTGAAATAAAATGTCAAAATAAAATAGAAAAATAAGTAATAAAATATACAATCTCAGCTGTATACAAGAGGTCATAGGAAGACAGTGCAACAGTGATGATGATTGACCGGACATAGGGTTAGTATTACCACCTGACAGTATTTTCTGTTTTGAGAGAAGAACTCAGCCTTAATATTGTGTGTTAAAATGTGTGTTTTTGATGAGGAAACAGATCAGAAAATAGTGTAATATGGGACCTTTAAAAGTTCATCGTGTAACTTTTCTGATGTCCGTCACCAGCTTTTCTCCATGGAGATGTTATTGCTTTGTCTGGAATGTTTCACAGTATGGCATTAAACCTTCCTATCTTCTACCAGACCAAGTTACAGGTCAGATCTGCGGAGAGGCGACCCCGTTCACGGTCAGAATACCTGTTTTTCTAGGTATTTTTGAGCTCTAAAACCAACTGTAATTGATTATAAATGTGATGTAGAGCTGTTTAAAGTCATACTGCGGAACATTCCAGGCATTGAAACCAGAAGGTGACAGACCCCCCCAACCGAAAAGTTACACAGTGCAGCTTTAATACTCACTCAAGAAAGATGCAAGATGTAAACACAATTGAGAACGTGCTGTACCTTCGATTGCACTGTTTACTTACATAGACCTCTCCCTGCAGATAGATTGTTGTAATTAGCGATAGCCTGCGCTCCCTTCTGTCTAAAAGTCTTATGTAATACTCCTGGAATAACCCTTTGTGTATGTGCTTTACAATTACACTAGCCCTGCACACTTGTCGCCATAGAAACCAGACTCCCATAGGACTCGACCGTGCCCTAAACACAGCTAAAGTTAACGCACAACACACACACAACACACAAGATGCCTCTATCTCCCAGGGAAAGAAACATGGCTCTGGGGGGTTTGAGTGTTGCTCAGTGACCTATTCTGACCACCTGTTGGCAGCATATATACTCAGCTTCCTCCTTTTGCTGTTTTTCAGTCACCTCCTCTCGCCAAGACACCGCTCACCAGATGTGGTAGAGTAAGTGCTGTTTTTATTCTTCTTCTCAGTGTTTTCCATTAAGAGAGAAGGCTATGCTGGTTTCTCATTATCTGTTTTTTTAAATAATAGATTGTTATTGCAAGTTATCATTTTTTCTTGTTGTAACGTTCACAATATTGTTTAAAAGTGTCTGTATTGTTTAAAAAGAACAGTCTAAAGTCATTTCAGTTTCAGTTCACATTTTACTTCATTTTACTGTTGTACAAATTGTCATAAATAAATGTTTTCATATATATAACGATTATTTGTGCCACCAAAGTCTCAGCAAAATGTATGGAGAACACTGATTATGCAACATTAATATATTTGTACTATTACTGCAACATTCTACTACTACTACTACTACTACTATACTGCTATTATGATTTAAGATGCACTATGTAACTTTTCTTTCTCCTTCTTGTCTCCATCTCTTGTTTCTGCTTTACCTGGAAAGTTTTACAGTATTAATAATAGTAAATCTTTATTTGTAGAGAACTTTTAAAAACAAGGTTTGCAAAAAACAATAATGCTAAAAAACATAAATTGAGATACAATAAGGAAGCAAAGAAGAGATAGTGAAACTGACACTCAGAGATCAAGTAATAGAATAATTAAAACGCCTTTTTAAGCTTTAGCCATGTTAGAAAGTTGTTGCCTCCTCAAAAGTGTTGGGTTTTGTTTCGTTCACACGTTCTTGAGTGACCATTTATTTTTAGTCTGTCTTCATGTCCAAAGCTCAAAATTCTCCATTCCAGTTTGTGATATTGTGAGGTGACGTTTTAAAACTACAGTGAAGCACCTTCCTGTACTACTGCATAACATCACAAGGAGTGTTTTCTCAGTCTAATTCAGCGTAAATAAGCAGGGTTTGTGTGCTAAACATAACAGAAAATAGCCTAAAATGGGCCCTTTAAAGTAAGATCACTGTTTTCAATATGAATAACCATTTACTGTAATTTAGAGTAAGTTAGTTTGACACCTGTGTCTCTCTCTCCAGTTATTTAGAAAGAACAATCCGGTCAACAGTGGAGCAGCACCTCTTTGGTATTAACCCCCTGAGGGATCAAAGGTCAGAGGACTGTGACTCAAACCCGGGTCCCAGGAGTCCAGCAGGAGCTCCAACCGCCAGAGAGAGGAGACGAAACCGGAGACAGCACGACGCTGACAGCCCGAGGCACAGAGACAAGAGCAGGTACCGCTGTTTTACTGATGTTTTTCCAACAGTTACCATGGTGACACACTGCACACACTAGCAAATACAGACAAAAAGGTTTTAAGCTCATTGCAAAACTGGAGAAAAATACAAAATGGAATTAAATGGCGCATTGTCAAGAGTCTGTGATCAATACGAGCGTTCACGGTCCTGGTGAGTGACGAATTGAAAAACTGTTGATAATGCTCACTTAACCAGGCAGGCGCCACCTAGTGCCTCCGCTCAATTTCATTTCTCTCCAGCAACTAGATCAGGAATCAAAATACAAATAGACGGTTTGCAAAAACCCCGGAAGTGTGAGTTTGGGCACCAGCGAATATATAATATATATTCAGTGTTGTCAGCGATTCACGAGATCGAGGATTTAAAGCCGGTATAAAGAGAATGTTTGGTGAATTTTATCAATGGGAAAGACGTTATTGCCCTTCTTCCTACGGGATTTGGGAAAAGCATAATATACCACTTAGCCCTGTTAGTGGTGCATTACATAACAGTGCTTGGTAAAATGATAAAAAGTACCCGCCTACTGTCGAGTGAACAAATTCCAACGCTGCGAGGTCAGACGGTTTGTACGAAGTGAAACGACGTAAATTTTGTTATTTGAGAAAGACTTGTTTTAACAGCACAAATTGATTGCGTTATAATAAAGTCTAATGAACAGAGTAGTGCCTCCAGTTTTGCTGCATTCTATTGTGCTCGGGACTCAGGGAAAACCGCCCTCCACCTCAAGAAAGTGCAATGGAACGGCCAATCAGATCAGGGTTCCAAAACAAAAACTCAGGCTAATTCGGTGCAGACCGAGTTGGTTGGATTTACGTCACAGTAAAAATGTTGGCGCACAAAGTAAACGGGGAGAATTGTGTTTTCGGCCTTTTGATGTGTTAAGTTGTGTATGTGTAGAGAAAGTGTCTTCTAAAAACTTTGTAGTGACATTTAAACTTTCTTTCACATCACTTGACAATAGACAGAAGTTTTTTTTCTGAACATTTAATAGTCAAACTGCCATAATTGAGTTGCCAACAGCTGACACTGGCTAACAGACTTGATTTATGAGCAGGAGCGAGAGATACCTGGCGTTAACTGCCTCAGGGTTCAGTCAGAGAGATTCGGATGTCGCTCTAGTGAGTTATGTGGAGCCTGTCCCATATACAAACTGTATTCATTCATAGGCGAACACAATAAACATTAAACTTTCTTGGGCATTCATATTTTCCCAAACTGTTGCAATGGAACGCATTTACAACGGATGTCAGGAGAGCTAGTATCATGCAAAGTTTTTCAGTTAGTCACTCTCATCTGTTTTGTTCATTGTAAAACATCATGAACTCTAGTATTGATCTCAGACTCCTGAAAATGTGTTGCTTAAATCCATTTTGTGTTTTAATCTTAAAGCTTTTGTGCCGGCGTTTGCTATTGTGTGCATTGTGTCACCATGGTAACCGCTGAACATTCCTCCCGTCGCAGCATGATGTTACCGCAAAGTATCAGTTGAGAGGTTAATGTTGTCGTCAGGGTCACACTTGGGTTCAGTACGAGGATAATTTTCAACTGCCATCAATGCTGCTAAACATTCACCCGCAGAAAAGGAACAAAAACATAAACTAGTTGTACTTAAACAAATGAAAAACACTTTGTTTACTTTTTTAGCTAGTGTTTAAAGATTCTATATTACACAAAACTGATTCTTGGAAGCTTTAAGCCTTATTATAATGCTGTTACCTCATCAAAAACACACACAGAGTTGTGTCATTCACGCGTGTGTTTTGTTTCATTCACGCGTGTTTGAGCAATTACGTTATTAGTCTGTCTACATCTCCAAAGCTCAAAATGCTCTTTTCCACCTTGTGATGTCATGAAGTGGTAGTATTCAAGTTAACAGCTACCTTTAGTTCAGTAGAGATGACCAATTTTAGGGTAGTTATTATTTAGTGCGACCAAAATTCTCCTTGTTTTTGACTCACTTAGGCTAGATCCACAAGGGAATTATTTGGACACAGTCGCTCACACATCACAATATATTATAATAACAAAAAGCAACAATATAAATAAAAATATAAGTCAAAATAGGCAGCAGTGATTGGATGAGAAGTCCTAATGAATCAAGTAAATACCACAAAAATCTGGATGTAAAAAAACAGAACATGTTTTATTCGAATGTTATAGGAAAATGTAAATTAACTGCATTATTTTACTGGTTAGAGCTACTTTCTGTGTTGTTTGTGAAAATCATATCTCAGAGCCAGTGCAGTCATAACAACAAGAGTCATCTCTGCAGCAGACTAATAATCCTTGTTGATGGACTCCACGTCTCATATCAGCGCCACACGGATTAGCCCAGAGAATATGAGTCCCCTGTGTACAGTAAATAGCAAATAAACAGACTTCAGGTTGTGTTGACATGGCTCTAAAATTTCACTCGATTTTTGTACTAAGGAACAAACTCGATAACTCAGTACCGATTTCAATACCTCGATGATAATAAAACCACTCTTTCTTTTGACAATAGAATGTGATTTTTAACATCATTAAATCATAGTACCTTATTTTTTTGTGATCAAATTTTTATTCAAGTGGTATTAGTTGCAGTTATACATATTCCAGTTAGCATTGCATTTTTCTTCATTTTAAACCCCTCACCTCCCACCCATAAACTCCCTATTGATGGGTGTCTGCAGAAAACATATGCACACATACATACACATAAATACACCACATATACATATATAATACATATATACAGCATCTACCGCTATAATCATAAAACACTCTTTATTTAGACAATAGAATGCAAATCATAGTACTTTCTTTTATATTCCCATGTGGTTTTATATCTGTATAATCCCTCTGTGGTCCAGGTAGGTTCCATAGCGGTCCATGCGTGTGTACGAGGCCTGTCACGATAACAAATTTCAAAGCACGATATGTCGATTCAGAGAAATATTGCGATGAACGATAATATTGAAACTACTGACACAATAACAGTAATGCAAGACAAGATAATCCCAGGGAGCTGTTTTTAAATACAGTATCATTTAAAAGCAGTGAGCTCCAACTAATAAATAACAGAATGAACCAATAATTAGCAATAGAAGTTACTTTTTTTTTAACCCTCTGCAGCTCAAATCTTATCATATTGCAACAAAAATAACCAAAATCTCCTCACTGTTGCAGAGAAATTGTACAAACGATAAATATTGAACCCCAGAATGTATTGTTCCATTTATCATATATTGAACGGTAAGTTGATGTAGTAATTAATTATTAAGCTATGTGCTTTTATACAGCTCAAGATCATTCTAAAGCTATTCAGGAATTTCTGTCCAATGAATGTGACTTTTAGTATCCATACCTGCTCAAATTAGTATCTAGCTTCTGGGGATGCACCGATATTGAAAGTTTTTGGTGGATCAGATATCGTCCCGAGATATCCGTCCAGTCAATATTCTATTTTGGTGTACAGGGTACATGGAAATCCTGGAAAAGTCACGGAATTTGAAAATGTAATTTTTCAGGCCTGGAAAAGTCATGGAATTTTAGTATCTCTGTTTCACTCATCTACAGTGTTCTGTTAAGTTTTCATTAGGCTATTATGATTATTTCCAAACATTTGCGCCTTTTGTTTAAAAGAGACGACAATAAATGCACTGACAGTATTTTGAATGTTAAAAAACTATTTAAAAAAACAAAAACTATAAAACCAAATGTGAGTGGAAAGGGTTAACGTTTCATATTTAGCCCTAAAAGTCTGTTCAGTTCTACACATGTAGGTGCTGTAAAGTCATGGAAATTTCACTTTATGATGATTCATGAAAAAGTCATGGGAAAGTTTTGAAATTTTATCAGTGAAAAAGAGTGGGAATCCTGTAAATACATTTGTGTAAAAAGATGATCTACTGAACAATGATGGCCCTAAACATTTAATTATAAAACACATTTGGATCATTGTTTTCCATGCCCCATTTGTGTTTAAAGGAAATGTTTCAGTCTATGCCCTTGTATCAGTTGATATCCGATACTGGCAGATACTTAAATCCATAGTATTGACTAGGGATGGGCATGATTAGTTGATTAATCGATAATTGATCATTAAGAATTTCATCGATTAAGTTCATTTTAATCGACAAACCGAATGTAGGTTGCTGTGTGTAGCGTGACCAAACAGGGGTCCGTACATGTAGCTCTCTGCACTCAGAAGGAGCGAGCAAACACAAACAGTCGGTCAGTCTGCAACGTGCCGAAGCGCAAATGCGCATTTAACGATGACTTATACAAGAAATTCCACTCTTTCCGTTACGTTCGGGACAAGTGGGAGGTTGTGTGCACAGTGTACAAAGCAGTGCATATGTTTCGGTGTCCAGTGGGAAAAAACTTTGCCAGGTGAGAGTCGCGCAATGTCGATGACGAGTCCCCACCTCCCGTACGGTGTCCTGGTTTTGACAAACGCAAATATGGTCACACTAACCTGTATTCCACTGTGTTGTGTTGCATCAGCGCACAAGACCTGTTTTTTTCTTCGCTTATTGTATGGAAATTAGCCATGCAGTTTTAAGTTTTGTTTCTGTGAGACTTGTGCAAAGCTGAATTAAACACATTATAATGTCAAATGGATTGATGTGGCTCCAGAGTGGTTACAGTTTAAATGTCGTAAAGTTGAATTTATTTATGCAGATTAGTAGTGCAGATAGTAATTATAATGTTGATAATTTTAATATAAAAAACGTTGACTTGATTGAAAATGATTAATCGATAATCGATCTTTAAGTCTCCCGACGATCGATTTAGATAATTTAATCGAATGCCTACTATTGACATCTGTATTGGAATATAAAAAGCTGGATTGGTGCAGCCATACTAGTTTCGATACAAGTTTTAGTATCAGTCTGTACCTGATTTTTTGATACATTTTTGATAGTACTAGTCGAAACACCAGAATAAACAAGTAGCTGTGACCAGAAGTGTTCCCAAACCATCACGAAACATGACAGGGGCGCCAGGTTAGGGGAGCGCAGAATCAATTTCCTCACTGTTTCCTTCATGTGGCTGTCAGCAGAGATACATCCGCTCGGACACACACCAATAAGGAGAATATCCAGTGGAGCGACCGGGGCAGAGGTGGTGCTGAAGTGGTGGAGGAGACAGACCAGAGGAGCCTCCTGGAGCAGTCATCCAAGAAGTGGAGACACAGCCCAACTCTAGTGCGGCTAAGTGACAAGCACAACGCCCACGCGGTGAGTCATCTCCGTCAGTGATGATCTTACTGGTCTATGTCTCGTTTAGCTGGAATAGAGATTGTTGCACAGGTCAGTACAGCTGAATAGAGTTTTTCTAACGTATTTAATAGGAATACAGTTTTATCATTAGTCACTATATTGTTGTCATGATTAGGGGGGTGCAAAAATATTGAAATATCGATATATCGTATCGTTTAATGTGATGATACAGTATCGATATCGTGGGATGCTGTATAGATATATTGCCAAGAGTATTTTTTGGTATATTTTACTAAATTATTTTGTTACAGCGCTACAGTTTTGTTGCTTGTTTAGAGGAAGGAAACTTGTTTATGCAACATATTTGATTTTTTCTCCATTTTGATGATTAAAATGGGTGTGTTTTATATAAACTTTGCGCAATAAGAGGTTTAACAAAGACTTTTAGTGTCACAGCCATAATTTAGACTTTATTTTTATTGAACTGTATCGAATCGTTTTGAAATATATCGCATCGAATCAAAAGTGCACTGCATCAAGGTATGTATCGTATCGGCAACTTCTTAATGATACCCAGCCCTAGTCCTGGTATCAAAATAGTAAACTTGATTTTGATACTAATATACTTGATACTCAATACAGATTTTGATACCACTATAATAATTAAAAAACAGTCTTTATTTAGACAAAAGAATGCAAATCGTAGTACTTTCTTTTTATATATTTTATATATGGTCTTGTATCTGTGTAATCGCTCAGTGGTCCAGGTAGGTTCCTCAGTGGTCCATGGGCATGTACTAGTCTCTCTGCTCTTATATTTGTTCTGATACAGCTCAAGATCATTCTAAAGCTATTCAGAAAAGGTTAATTTATGTCCTGTGAATGTGACTCTTTTTAATATTGATACCTACTCAAATGAGTATCTAGTTTTGATATGAGTTTTAGTATCGATTAATATCTGTTTTTTGATATTTTTGACAATCCTAGAATCTACAGAACTGGATGCCACTTTGAAGTTAACAGGAAATAGGGCAGCAGCTAATAGCCCCCTCCTGCCGTTCTCATTATGTTGTCTTGTAAAGCACAGCAGGCTGCTCTAATTGTTAACCACTTTGCAGAAATAGAACAAATGTAAGTGCCAATAGGCCATATAGGCAATTAGAAGGGCATTTTATCCATAAAACATAGACTAGCTTGTACTTCTTATGTTTTTTTAAAGCAGACCTATTATGCAAAATCAGCTTTCCAGAGCTTTTAATAATATTATGGTTGTTTCTTCTTCTCATTTACCCTCTGGAACTTTTATTTGGAGTGATTTGTGCATGTTTGAGTAATCTTTAATCACTTATTTTCAAGCCACCACATTACCAATCAGCCGTCATTTTTGCCGCCACTGGTACATGCCCAATAGCCAGGCTGGCGCCACCTACTGCCTCCGCTCAATTTCATTTTTCTCCAGTAACTAGATCATTAATCAGAATACACTAGACAGTTTGCAAGAACCCCGGAAGTTGTAGACTGCACAACGGCCAATCAGCGAAGAGCGGTGAAGCCATGACGTCAAACTCAAGCGTCTGTCTGGGTCCCTTTTGTGGAACAGCACAACAGTAAACAAAGCGGTCGAGATGGATGTAGACGAAGACATATATTCTGTATTGGCAACAATTCCCAAGATCGAGGTTTTTAAAGCAGAACAAAGAGAATGTTTGGTGAATTTTATCAAGGGAAAAAACATTATTGCCCTTCTTCCTTCAGGATTTGGGAAAAGGTTAATATACCAGTTAACCCTATTAACCCTATTAACCCTATTACATACGTCACGACCAAATAGCAGCGATTGGTTAAATAAAAAAAGTACCTGTCAACCATTGAGCAAATGAATCCTAATGCTGCGAGGTCAGACGGTTTCCACAAAGTGAAACCAGCTGATGAATCAGTCTACACGCCCACTGCTCTCTACTTACTTTGTTCTCCAGTTTTATTTTTGGATCCCAGTAACACAACTGGAGAAGCCAATACATTTTTAACATTTAGCACAAAGTAGGAGAGACGTGTTTGGACTGTATATGTAAATGATCACAGCTAACCCACATAGGAAATGAGCATGGGCACACTTACGGCTCCATCAACTTCACTTTCTATTGAGAAGCTGCAGAGGACAGCTTTGACTCCCCTGCAGCCAAGTCCAAATGTGTATACATACTTCCTTTATAAGACTTGTGTAGCATAAGCTCCTGTGTGCGCACTTCTGTCCACACCTCATTAATCCCTGAGACTCTACACCATCAGAGAGCAGAGGTCTCTGGTGCAAATTGTGCCTCGGCTTTAATGAATCTTCTGACCAGGACACCTTGTGAAGAATGCTGTAACAGGATTCATTTTTGTGACTCATCTTTCGAGACAGCTGCATAGGCTGAGGCCACGCTGTTCGCCACTGTGATCTGTTGCAAATGTAAAGTTTAGCTGCATCGGCATGTTACAGTAGCTCCAGGACTGATGGAAATAGACTTGTCAAACGCCGCTGTCTCAGGAGGCCTGTTTTTCCCATACCCGCTCCTTATGCAACTCTGCGGATGACACATACACACATATGGTCTGTGAGCGATACCTGGCACAGTTCAGCGGTGCCAGCATCGTCACCCGTGTTCCTGTCAGTGTGATTATGTGGGAAAAGAAAAGCCTCGTTTTGATCTATCTCGATTTTCGAGTGGATTTTATTTAGTCTTTTCACAAACGAAATAAAAAAAAGGCTTAGTGTTGGTTTCATAATCATTAAAACAGGCTTTAATTTAAGCCATTTAACACAAAAAAAATACACAAATTCTCTTCTTAAAGTCTTAACTCTGCTCCAAACTCAGCCTGTCACAATATCAAATTTTGAAGTGCTGTAAAGTAAGTAATTATAGGCTATAAACGATAATAATGAAACCAAATAAAGTAGAATAATCCCCTAAAAATGATCTAAATTTACAATATAGTTCAAAAAGATGAGCTGCAATAAATAAATATGTGAATAAATACCAGAAATGAACACTTAAGTCATTAGTTTGTGTCTATAATGAGTCATAATAGTTCATAATTCAATCCTCTACAGCTCAAATCTCACCGTAGTATAGAAAAAGAACCCAAATTTTCCCACTAGTACAAAGAAAAAGTCCCCATGATAAATTTTGACCCCCAATATCTATCATGTATTGAACAATCAGTTGATGATATAGTATTTATTATCTTGACAGGCCTAGTCTAAATCACACGCTTTTATGGCTGTGGACCCAACCATATCACTGATTTACTACTTCTTGTTTTTTTTACAATTAATTACCCCGTCCTGAGGATATGTTAGGGCAGTAAATAGACAAAAGTTAATCTACTAAAAAAAGAATTCAGATTTGATGTAGAAAAATACATCACCTGACACTACCTCCTTTTTTTTTCAAAATCATGAGCGGTAGAAGTTCTCCTCACACCAATTTTTTCTGCTTCAATCACAGTTGTTTATAAAATGCGTCAAATATGTAGCTACCAAATATAACTTTTAGTACTTTAGCGGTAATCTTTTATACTAATGGGCTTAGTTTTACCATTATTCCAATATGAATAAATCATTACCTCAGTAGTATAGACAAAATATTAAGAAAGTACACCATGAAACTAGGGATAACAGTTTTCACGAGATGAAACAGACCATCAGATTGTGTCCACGAGAACGAAAGAAGACGAGATTTTGGTATAATTTGTAATAAATAAGTAGTGCAATAAAAAGTAGTGCAATCCATTTCCCGACTAGCCGGTTTCACTTCGTAGAAACCGTCTGACCTCGCAGTGTTAGGATTTGTTCGCTCGACGGTAGGCAGGTACTTTTTTCATTTAACCAATCGCTGCTATTTGGTCGTGACGTTTGTAATGTGCCGCTAAAGGGCCTAACTGGTGTATTAAGCTTTTCCCAAATCCCGCAGGAAGAAGGGCAATAATGTCTTTCCCCTTGATAAAATTCACCAAACATTCTCTTTGTTCTGGCTTTAAATCCTCGATCTCGGGAATCTTTGACAATGTGCGGCTCTTCGCTGATTGGCTGGTGCCCGAACTTGCACTTCCGGGGTTTTTGCAAACCGTCTAGTGTATTTTGATTCCTGACCTAGTTGCTGGAGAGAAATGAAATTGAGTGGAGGCTGACTATTTCGTGACATCTTGTGGCCCGAGATATTGTCCCATCCCTAGCGTACATCATAAAGACATATCGGCATGAGTATTTTTAGTAGAGCCCGACCGATATATCGGCTGGCCGATATTATCGGCCAATGTGGGCACCTGGAGACATATCGGCCGATATGCTTGCTGATATGGGCCGATATTTCACGTGGGCATGTTATACCTCGTTATAAAGCTTAGACTCTCTACATTATGTTCATTTAATCCAATTTACAGACAGATAAATGTCCTAATATGTGGCTCCGCATCAGTATTTATCTACGGTGTAATTTGTCTGTGTCTGTGTCCGTACTGTCCCTGAACACACCACCAGAGTGACGTCACTTCACTCGCGTGTGTTTGTTTACACCCGCAGCCGTGCGCAACATTGAGATTATATGCTTTTTCGGACAATCGGTTTGAGTCTGGATTAAAAGGACATTTATTAGTGCAGACTTGTGATGTGAGGAGGAGCCTGTGTGAGCGGTGAGTGTTGGAAATACATCGACTTTGAAGCTAGTTTAGGTTTTGTTAGCTGTTAGCTGCTGTAGCTCCCACACATAAACAGACTGTTTTCTATTGGTCTATTGTAAAGTGACTACATTGGTCGTATATTTGTTACTGGACCAGCATTGATATGTAAATGAGCTGTGAATAGACGTGTGAATGATCCACATTTATGCATATAATTAATTACCGCGGTGCGCACGTTTTTACGGCTAAAGGCTAATAGCGATAGTTTACTAGCTAGGAGTTATGGGTCGGTCGCGATCGAAGCGGCTCTTAGATCCGGCTCTTTGAAGCGAACAACGGGAGCGTGCTTCTTATTGGGAGCCGTGTTTTCTCTTTTTCTCACGTTTTCTCTTCATGCCGCATGTAGACCCATAGTTTGACAGCAGCAGCGGCTGAAAACGAAACTTTAAGAAATCTGCGTGTGCATAGGATAAAAAAAAGTGCATATTTGGCTGCAGTTCAGCATAAAATGAATAAACCAGGACTAAACTTGGGCTCGAGTGCAGGAGAAAGATAGAAACCAAGTCCCGACACTCAGTCCTGGTTCAGTTCTGGTTTAGTCCTGCTTGCAACAAAACCATCTCAAGAGTCGCTTGGGAGCCGAAAGAGCCAGTTGCTTTAGTGAGCCGAGCCGGTTCTCCAAAAAAAAAACTGGAATACCCATCACTAGCAGTGACAGTAACAGTAGCTAGAATGTGATGCAAAAATGCCATTAGGCCAATCTACTGTATGTAAATATGATGTAAAGAGTCAAAATAACAATAAATGTTGCCTAAATAAACCCAATTTAGAATCCACTAGAGCCAAACCTAAGTTTTTTAATCAATTAAAGATTTACAGTGAATTTTTAAATCACTAAATATATCAGCGATTATATCGGCTATCGGCAGCTCCATCTCCCATTATATCGGTTTCATATCGGTCACAACAAAATCCATATCGGTCGGGCTCTAATTTTTTGTATATTTTACTCAATTATTTTGTGGCAGTGCTACAATCTTGATGCTTGTTTAGAGAAAGGAAACTTGTTTTTGCAGTACACTTGACATATTCACTGTTTAAATAGTTACAACAGTTTTATTCCATATTGACTACAGGCTCTGTTCACGCTAGAGGGGTTTCAAGTGGAGCTGGGAGTCACTTCAATTCAATATTTAATACACTGCTCACGGTACGATATTATCACGATATAGCGATACATGCGATAAATGATAAATTGCACATGATACTCTGCAATGTAACGCTATTTTTAAGAGCCAAAACATTTTAATGGCAGTATTTCTTTGTTAAACCACCACCTGATTGATAAGCTCTATTAATGCTTACGTCACAAACCGAGAAGGCGTTTGGAAAGATGGAATTACAACTTCCCAGGCCCAATTTTCTTCACTTTCTCCATGTCACTGTAGCGTTCCGTTATGTTCGGCTAATCAACAATTGCAACCAGACTTCAGTTTTTATCATTTCCCCACAGACCCACAACTCCGAGCGCACTGGGTACATGTGATTAGAAGAGATGAGGCGCCCAAACAGCACATACATATGCAGTCTTCATTTTACCGCTGATCACATTTACTTCATTGGGTTTGATCACAGTCGGTCAGCGAGCCCAGTGTCAGGAACTACACCGGAAATTGTCATTGCATGTTTCCAAACTTCTTCCTGGTTTGGAGCCTATTATACAGGTGGTGGTTTAACAAAGAAATATTGTCATTAAACTGTTTTGACTCTTAAAAATAGCGTTATATTGCAGAATATCATGTGCAATTCATCGAGGATCACATGTCTCGCTATATCGTCATAATATCTTATCGTGAGCAGTGTATTAAATATCAAATTGAAGCTACTCCCAGCTCCACTTGAAACCCCTCCACCCTGTTCTGTAGCTTCAGGTGAATAAAATAGCCACGCTTCATAATATTTGTACACAACATGTTTTCATATTTCACTCTAAACCATGGCATTGGATTTGGTTTTGAGAGATGATAAGAACTTGACTCACTCGTCTCACCAGGATACCAGTTTGTCAGTATAGCTAAAGCCATGCCTTGTTATTTTTTATCAGTTTGTTATCAGTCCTTATTATTGTTTTTATCAGTATTTTTATGCTTTTACTTAAGTTCATGCTTTCGTTTATGCGTTTATAGCGTCCTATCTCAGTGTAGCGTTGGCTTGTGCAACTTTATTTTGTTTTGGTAACGCAGTAATTACATGGTTCATATTTCCTTTGAAGGAGACCTATGAGAGATCTGAAGCGACCTACATGGAGATTCAAAACTGGTAAGAACAACACAAACTTCACTGAAAAAGTCCAAACGCCCCTCGTATTTTTGGCTTTACTGTTTAGTTTCTAACATTTCTAACATTCTCTGTAATCGAAAGACAGCACTGTTATCTGTTTTGGCTTAAGGTTACTGATAATGATTACTACATCTTTGATAGGCTTTCTCTTTTCTTGTATTTTCAGGAATGATACGACACTAGAAACGGCTTCTTCCTCAGTGGTACGTACAGCACAATTAATCACTTTGTTGTTTTTAATGATCAAGAATTTGAAAAATTTGTTTACCCCTGATTTTCTTACTTGCAAAGCAGATCATTGTGCAATTAAACATCTGAAGTCTCACTCTGATTTCAACTATAAAAATCAGATTACATAACTTGACTCAGCGATATATACTGCAATAGTTCTTGTTTTTTCTCATGATGATTCAAATTGCGCCCAAAATGATTTTTTTGAGTCATGTTTCCTCATAATTTAAAGATTTCTTACATTTTATTTCATATAATTTTGTTCTCGTGAAGGTGTACTATATGACTATACATAATTATTAAAGGTGTACTATGTCACTTTTTCACTGGGGGTCTGTCACCTGCTTGTTTCTATGGATATGTCATTGCTTTGCCTGGAATGTTCCACAGTGTGACATTAAACAGCTCTGCCTTACATTTATTCAATTACAGATGGTTTTAGAGCTCATAAATACCTAGAAAAACAGGCATTCTGACTGTGAGCGGGGTCGCCTCTCCACAGATCTGACCTGTAACTTGGTCTGGTTTGGTCTTCATGAAGGTAGAAAGGTTTAATGCCATACTCTGAAACATTCAAGACAAAACAATAACATCTTCATGGAGAAAAGCATTTGAAGGACCCTCCACTAGAAAAGTTGCACAATGCATGTTTAAAAAATCTCAATATATCGTCTTTTGTTTTAGTATTGGGACATATATCGTGATAATATCGGCAGATTAATGAAAATGCACACCCCTAATATCTCTGTAACTGTAAATTAAGGTAGTTTAAGGCAGGACAAGATACAAATGAAAATGCAAAGAGCTTCCTCTGTTCATCATAATCGTCCAGTGTGCGCAAAAAACTCATTTTTTGGCCATATCACTCGGTCCAACACAACACTGTTATAATCTACCACCTGTTTCATCATAGTTTCAAAAAACAGTAGCTTTAATCTTCAATCAGGTCCTAAATAAAGAGATTAATAAAGAGAAAAGATAAAGTTAATCCCTAAAAGACTATGAGGTTGTCGACAAAAGCACTAAACAGAAACTAAAATATACTAACTGCATCTGCTCCCTGCCAAACATGCAGATTTTTGTCAGAACCAGATCGACTTGAAGTCCACACACAAATCTGTTACTCTGACGGGTCCAGATGGTTTTTTGTCACAGCTCAGGTTATAGCTCTGCGCCAGGTCCGTACTGAGATGCCATCTGGACGGGCACGCTGCCACTCTGCCGTATAAGCTGGTTATCAGTGACCGTGCTGAACTCATCTCTCGTGTTATGTCGGAAACCTACACCTTATTCTAAAACAAATGCCCAATGTGGTAAGCAGGACACACAAGGGACACATGGGAAAGTTATGTTTGGACTCAGCCTGTCACGATAATTACTATACCAATTTATCGCTTGGTATAGACGAATTATTTATTTATCAACACAGTGGAGTGCGGAAAAGAGCCGCTGTCTGTGGTTAAGTTGATGAAGTTGCAACACTAGCAAGTGATGTTGTCAGCATTAAAACGGTTTATCACCATGAGATAAGTTATGGTGCTAAATAAAAATTAGTGCAGGGTAGCCGCGAGGTCTTAAAAGTCTTAAAAAGGTCTTAAATTTCATGTTCCTAAATTAAGGCCTTAAAAAGTCTTAAATTCTCTTGTCCAAGTCTTATTTTTTCATAAAGGTCTTAAATTTCATTAGCCTATTTTTTTGTTTATTCAACCGGGAGCAGTGCAATGTTAAATGGAGGGAAGGTAAAAAAAAAAAAAAAAAGTGAACTAACGTAACATGAATTAACGTCTAATTTGGAGTATGCGCAACCAATACTTTAGTTTTTGGCACCAGCGGCAATGAGTAAACAACCGTCTACACTGCCCAAGAAGCAAAACTGTGTTCAGATCTGCTCATGTCACGTACGCGTTTACGTCACATACATCACCACCGAGTCGCTTGGCATGCACCCAATCAAATCCCACACACTTTTGCGTCACTGTATGCACGCAGATTTCCTCCCGAAAACGCTCGTCTAAACACAGAATAAAAAGACGCTACGCTACTTTTGCGTCTACTGTTCAGACCGTCATCATATAAACGGAGCCTTAGATTGTAGATATAGTACTGGTAGTTGATTGGTTATAATTAGAATTAGACTTGGTGTTTTTCGCTCGCATAATGGGTGCGATGTTGGTCTTAATTTTCATTTAAGTGGTCTTAAAAAGGCCTTAAAAAAGTCTTAAATTTGGGGTAGTCAAACCTGGGGACACCCTGTAGTGAGTAGGACACGTCTTAATGCAGGTGAGTGCATAAATGATAAGAAGAAATGGCTCAAACTTCAGTAGCCGGACATCTATTCATACCAGATCAATGCCTCGCCTGAAATCTGCTGAAATCCTACAAGACCCTGACATGATCCCAGACAGGACAGTGGCTCTTTCTGCAGGAGACATGCGCAGTAGAGCAAAGCAAAGTTTTTGTTTTGGCTGTTGTTCCCGCCGCTGGTTAGGACGATCCGGATCCATTTGAAGCAGTGATAGCTCCTTCTCCTCATTGCTTCTTCCTCCTCCTTGATCCTTATAGTTGATTTCATGACATAGCTCTCAGAGGTCAGCGAGAAGGAGAAGGATGGAGGTCTTTTTGTCCATTTTCGGCTTCTCTTCGAACTTGCCGCAGCCATGTTTGTTTGTCTTTTGGACTTTATGTTGCCATATTCGGGATACTGTGTATACATGCCACAGTATCCTAGTTACTATCGAAATGTCCCAGCTACAATATCCCAGTTTCTCTGCCTATACATGCACCATGACGAAACACGGATGTTCAAAAAACCAGATCATAACCAGGATACGTGCATGTAAACACACTCCACGAAGATAGAAAGGTTCAATACCCAAAACATGCTACATAGGTCTCCAGGAAGAACAATTTATAGTCAAGGTCAGGTAAATACAATCAATCACTGAACCTGCCCAGGGACGACAGGCGGAAATTAGCACTGGTACAATGCATCTCTCCTGTTAAGGTTAATGTAAAAATTGTGTGCAGTCCCTGTCTCAAATAAATAAATAATAAATAAATACCATTCTGTGAAAAATATAGGGCAAAGCAATAACATGGAGAAAAGAATTTGACCAAACCTCCACCAGAAAAGCTACACAATGCACCTTTAAGTCATTTAAATGTGCGTGTTTTTTTCCTGATATGCTTACATGACAAATTGAGCAGTGAGCACTAGAAGCGTCTCAAGTTACAAACACAGAATCCCTCTAATTCTCTGCAGTAGCTGTTGCCGACATCTCTACTTCCTGTTTTGACAGACGTGACCTTCAGAGTTCTAATATCAATCGCTTCGTGTGGGAGGGGCCCCTGTGCCTGTGTACCGCAAAGCAAAAATAGAGGCCACGGATTTCTTAGTACAAATATATTCCACGGATCTGTTAAAAGCGATGTTTACAGTGACTATTTTAACGTTTAATATTGAATTTGCAGCCAAGTCCTGTTTGCACACTCAGCATAATCTGGCCCAAACAGAGCATTAAGCATCGTCTAGTGCGTTCTCATCCCCCCACACGCACACACACATGCACACATGCACACAAACACATGCACACAAACACACACATGCACACACTTAGACAAACTTTATTGATTCACAAGGAAAATTACTTGGACACAGTAGCTCACACATCACAATATATTATAATAACAATGAGAGTAGGGTGACCAGAAATTGGGGGAATTGTTTTTGTATTTTTGGGGGTTGTTAATAATAAAATTGTGAAACGAGTGCGTAATTAAAGAAAATTGTTACGCGCTCGCACAAATGTGAGTCAGTATAGTCACATTTTCTTTTTTCTTTGGTAATTTTTAAGCAGCTTTTCTGGATTTTGTCAAAAGAAATGACAATTAATGCTTCTCTTTACTGTTGGCAGGTATCAGACTGGACAAAATAGGGAATCTTGGGACATTTCTTCTATAAAACTCACTAACAAATCAATGGTTTTGGATAAATCTGCAGGGACAGGGGACACAGGGCTCAAAACTGGGACTGTCCCGGGTAAATAGGGATGTCTGGTCACACTAAATGAGAGCAAAAATAGCAGAAAACAAATGTCAAACAAGGCATAATTATAAAAATGTATATGTACAAGTAAAAATGTATGAAGTAATACAAATATATCTCAGTTATATACAGTAGGTCAAAAGGAAAACAGTGCAAAGATGTTATGATGATTGACAGGACATAAGGTTACATGCACACAAGCATACACACACAAAGACTCTCCCCACCCCCCTCCTTCTGCACCAGCTGGACCTCTGGCGGTGATGTAATCGTTCACACAGGGACTGGACCTCCTCTGGTTTGGACCTGAACATCTGCGCTCCCGCTAATCCGCGCCCGGCTCCTCACAGCGTCTTGAGTTTGTGCTTCTACGGCAGCCCGCGTCCTCGAAAGCTGCTTTCAAACGATGCTTCAAACCCGGCTCTGTTTAGATTGATTTCGAGGATTATCCAGTCATGAAATAGAAAGAAAACGTTACCTATGCACACAAAGGGAATTTCTGCTGAGTTGTGCTGGGGTTACTCAAAGTGCATATGATACATTGGTTAGACTAAGGTGCATTATGTAACTTTTTGGTTATTGGTCTGTCATTGCTTTGCTTTGAATGTTCTACAGTGTGAGATTAAACAGATCTACCTTACATTTACTTGATTACAGGTGGTTTTATTGCTCAGAAACAACTAGAAAAACAGGCATTCTGACTGTGAGCGGGGTCACCTCTCCACAGATCTGACATGTAACTTGGCCTGGTTAGCTCTCCATGGCGATAGAAAGGTTTAATTCCATACTGTGAAAAATTACAGACAAAATAATAACAAAGCAGGTGGTGGACCCTCCATCACAAAAGTTACACAGTGCAGCTTTAACATAGATAAGGGCAAAAGTTCTCAAAACAATTACATATCTCTGATTTTCTATCTGACCCAAACTGCAAAATGTAAAGTTCATGCAAAAACAATTTGATGCAGAAAAAAAGTACAAGGTTAAAAATTATTTATGGCCCCATGACCATATAAAATAAAGTACTATGATTTAGTGTTGA